ATAACGGTAGTTGGAGGAAGCTTCGTATTGCGGTGGGGAGCCAGTGAACAAGATTATTACCGGAATGGAGGGCATGTTCCACAGAAGGCGCAGCGGGGGGTCCCTGATGCATGATTGGCCTTCAGGGCGTGCCGGTGGGTGATGCAGGCACCTCAGGTTGACTGAGAAGACAGCCAGTAGAGAGGGTCCAGTAACAGCCCACAGGTTGCCCCAGAGAGGCTGCAGACGAACTGTGGAGAGCATGGTGCTGCGGCTGCGCGCTGTAGGTCGCTGGCAGGATGGGGAGTAGCGTTCGTCAGTAGCACTGCTGCTACGCTCAGTACGACTGTTGGAAGATACCTCAGAAAGTTGTTGAAGGAAGGCAGGGTTGCGGCGGGCGCAGATGGAAATGTCATGAGATGCAAAGAATAAAGGAATCCAGCTAACTGGCTTCCTTCTCACTAAATCTATTAGGACAGCGATGAGCTTCCCCAAGGTGTTAACGTTGCCGCTGCTGCTTTTGCTGCCACTTTGCACGAGACACACGACGATAGCACAGTCAGTCCTCAGTGGATGAGCAAAGGAAAGACTCAGCGGCCGCACTGTTGGGGGATGTACGTGGGTTGCACAAGCTTTCTTGTACTGGGTTGTCTGTGTCACTTGGTGTAGAAGATCTCGTGGTAGCCATTCGCCAGGTGGAATTGGAGAGTGCGTTAAACGCATCGGGAGATACGCTTCGTCTTCGTATGCAGGATTCGCAGAAGTGCGTTTTTGTGGTTGTTCGTGACTGCATGGAGTGGCAGTGGGGTAGTTCGTAGGTGCCCGCAAGGATGTGTCCCTGCACTGGGCATCCGAGGGGTGCAACACAAGTTTAGACAGTCCAGGAGCTCGACTGTCCAGGACAGGCAAACATGTTGAAGGCTCTCCAGAAGAAGTGGAAGCTGGAGATAGAAGATCCATCCGCAGTGCATCTTCCTCGCTTTCAGGTCCATGGTCCCTTTGCGCAGCGGCCACCACTAGATTTGCTGCTGTGTCGACAGCCAGGAACAGACCAGCACACAAAGGGTGCTTAGCAATTCTTACCACTCTTGGCTGCCCGCCTTTGCCAAGTTTGGGCAGTGGTTGGCCGCTGTTTCCCACTGGAAAGCCTGAAAGTCCAGTCGGCGTGCAAGTATAATGCTGCTGGTCAATCAGAGGGACAGCTGGCAAAAAGTGGGTGTCACATGCCGCCTGATCATCGGACACTCCGAAGAAACTTTGGATTCCTTTTGACACCAATGCTGCTGAAATGTCGACACCGTAAAGTTTGTTGCCCAGATGAATGGCCACGTGATGGCACTGCATGTGCCCGTGCCCTGCATACTTAATTATTGGAAAAATGTGGCTATTCCAAGGATGGATTACCGCATGAGGGTGGTAATTTGAAGTGCATGCGGCTGCTGCTATTTCATCACTTTGCATGTGGGATCCTAGCCTTGACAGTGAGTTTCGAGACATGAAGGTGTGAGCAGCCGCTTCTGAGGGCCAGGGGGATCCTTCGACTTCGGTTGCCACGACGGCTGCTAGCCCTTTCTTAAAGCTTCGCCACATCCGTTTGAAATGGTGGAATACCATTTGCTCCACTAAACGTATCCCATGACGGAAGGAGAGCCGTCGCATGACACGTTTCCTTAAGGGATTCAGAATATGCTTCCTGAGTAAGATAATCCTAACGGCTGCGCTTGCAACAGCCTCCTTGATCTTCCTCATCAACAGGGCTCTCCGCTGTAGCCATAGTAGGGTCGGGTGCACATGTAGGATAATGCAAACTGCAACACGCCATCTCAGACGCTGAATCGCTGTGATAAGTCGGCATAAGTCTTTTGGCGTTTTGAAAAACTGGCCGGGGTCAGCAATCAATGCTGCAGCCTCTCCATACGCGGTCGCCTTGAAGCAGACCAAAGAAACGCCGCAAATAAAAGAGCCCGGCCGGCACTGAGGCAGCAATCCGAGGGTCGCAGACACTGAAGCAGGAACAAACGAACGAAGATGAGTGCATGAATATTTCATGTAGGCACGTCGGGGAAGTACCAGCCAGCGAAAGAATTACAGCAGGTCCATCAGCAGTGTGCATTGGGTGATGAGGTAATCTGAAGGTATCTGGTTCTAACCTAGCGTGCGATCTCTGGCGGCCCCCGGGTTCCAGTGCCTAAGCGTGTCAACAATGCGGCTCTGTATTCTTAGATCTTCTTCCAGGGACTTGGAGTCTCCCCCTACTCGCTGTGTGGCTTTCGTCTGATTCAAGAGTGTTTGCACATTTTCCTCTTGTTCCTTTAGCCGGCTCTCCACAAGGGGGATTATGACCTTGCGTAATCGGGCTGCCAGGGCACGCAGAGGCATTCTGTGGGGGAACCCGGAATGAAGGATGTCCACCAGGGCCAACGTGCCCGAGTGTTGTAGCTGCGCAACAGGAGGGGCGAAACACAGTGGCCAAAAAGCGGAGACTGAGTTCAGCTCTTCCCCTCTGCCACCAGCGGCAGCTTGGGCGGCACCTCTTCTCTGGCTGTCCAAGAAACATCTCGTTTCTGCCACTGCCATGTTTTCGTCGGATTTCTCACCTGATGCAATACGGTCTTCCTTTCAAACTTGTCAGGCTTCATCTGGCTGTTGGGAATGAAACATCGTATGAAGTGAAGCTGCATATGAGGTCCCTGCAACTCCTGACTTAGGTCCTTCACACTCTTCAAAAAGCGTTTTGTAATGGAGGAGAATTGGCCGCCGCCCGTGGTGGCCACGCATATTCCTTCTTGCTTCTGACTTTCCTCGTGCTGCTCCATCGCGTGCCGCAAAAGCGACTTCGTAGACTTCGCCACGAGATGTTCAAGCTCGTGCTCGATCTGTAGGCGCACACAAGTAGGTTGCATTTTGTCCTAGCCAAGGAAACTGCAGTGCACGAAAAAGCTGGGTGATAGATTACTCATCGGAGTGGTGTTCTCACTCTGTCGTTGTTCAAGTCGAGCCATCCATCAGTACCGTATAGAACTGTGCCGGCGAAGTGTTTGACAGCAAACACCCTCTCCTGCACTT